CTTACATGTTTCCCCCCCCCCTCCCCCCCAAATTACTTTTATACATGGAAGTGATTGTGTCAGAGGACCAGGTCCACTTTAGAGATTTATCTAAATCATTTTTAACCCTTCTTAAATCTTCTTAAAGTTGTCTATTTCTTTCAAGTTCAACACAAAGACTCAATTTTACCTTTTTGAGTTCATTTTCAAGCTTAAGGTGTGCCTCACGCGCCACTTCCTTTCCTTTTGAGGAGTTCATGTAATTTTCCATTGAGGTTTTTAAAGGGATGTTATCTTTCATTAACTCCTCTACTATTTCCTTCAGATCCACAATTACTACAAGAAAATCATCTCTCTCGTGTTCTATCTCTCTGATTTTCTCAGTTAAAGTATCTTTATCTTTCTTTAACTCCTCTATTGTTTCCTTCAAGTCAATAATTACGACCAGTAAATCATCTCTCCCACGTTCTATCTCTCATATTTCTTCAGTTAAAATATTTTTATTACTAATGAGATTGTGGTAAGCATCAATTAAGACATTAGCTAAAGATACCTGCTTCTTTTGAGAATAAGACTTCAAATTTCCTTGAACATCTAGAAAGTTTACCTCATCGCTACCATCATCTTCATCAGATTTTACCATCAGTGTGAATATGGAATCATATTCTGCAGCTTCGCTTTCAACGGCCATCATGGAGATGTTACCTTGTTCATCATCACCCTCAGATTCACTAGAGGAATCTCTCCAGGCGGAAAGAGCTTGTTTCACAACATTATCAGTGGCATCTCTTCTCTTGAATTTCCTTTCAAGGACCGGGTTCCTCTTAGCCGTCTTGTCTGTGTTGTGCTTGTAATGGTCCTACTTGTGGAGAGGGCAATCTTTGATGAAATGTCCTGCCTTCCCGCATTTGTAACAGCAAACATAGCCTTTTGTGTTTCTGCTAGAGCTACATTTCTTAGGAATATCTCCATTTCTATGAACCATTTTCTGAAATCTCCGTGTAAGATAGACCATGTCAGCATCATCAGCACTTGAGTCACTGTTGTCTGCCTTGAGAACCAGGTTCTTCTCTTTTTGGGGTTCTCTTCTTTCATGATCCTTTTTCTTCTTCATTTCGTAGGTTTTCATATTTCCAATGAGCTCGTCAATCGTCAGCTTTGCTTCCGTGATAACATTAACTTTTCTCTCCCGTGAACCAAGTAACACACTGAGTATTTTTCTAACCAGTTTGTTCCTTGGGATAATCTCTCTAAAAGAGTGAAGCTCATTGATAGTAGAAGTAAAGCGAGTATACATGTCCTGAATGGACTCATCCTCCTTCATCTTGAAGAGTTCATACTCAGTAGTGAGCATGTCGATTTTTCACTGCGTGACTTGAGTGGTTCCTTCGTCTACAGTTTGGAGAGCCTTCTAGATCTCCTTAGCAGATTGATAGGCTGAGATGCGGTTGTACTCGTCTGGTCCAATGCCACAGACGAGGATCTTCTTTGCTCGGAAGTTTTTCTCGATGACTTTATGATCAGCATCATTATATCCCTTCCTTGTCTTTGGAACTGTGACTGTTATCTCGCCAATGGTCTTCATAGGGACAAAGGGTCCATCACAGATAACATCCCAAAGCTCCGAATCTTCTGCCATGATAAAATCATGCATTCTTGTCTTCCACCAGCCATAGTATTGTCCATTGAATCTTGGTGGTCTGTAGGTTGATTGACCTTCTTCAAAATTTGGTGGAGCAGCCATGTAGATCCTTTCTAGGTGTTAGCCTTATAGAAAGAACCCGTTCTGATACCAATTATTGTAAACTAAGAGTCCACCAAATTGTATAGAGAACCTGGTTCTCTATCAGTTCCTACAGAACACAGCAGTAAGTAAATAACACAACGATATTTACGTGGAAAACTCCCAGCTCACAGGATTAAAAACCACGACCTACCTTAGTAAGATTTCAACTTCACTAATTAAGCAACTTTAGATTACAACCTATTGTAACCTAGGAATTGAACTCTTAATCCCTTACATACTTACAATAACTATATTGCAAGCCTCTTTGTAATAACTCTATTACAAAGCAAACCACTTGTCTAACTCTAGTCAATACAGCCATAAGGTGTATGATTTACAATGTGTCCTACGAGATGCTTTTAAATAAGATGAGTAAGAGTTACAAGTGAATAACATAAACAAAGACACAACAATACTAAGGACGCACGATATAATCAATGTTGGGATCTAGTCCTTCGTTATGTTGTTGTTTTGTTGTTCAATGCCTTTGAGAGAGTGAAGGCGGTCGCACACTTGAGAGTAAATAATGTCTTAAGGTTTGCAAGTGTGTGTAATTCCTTGCCTCATGTTGGTAATATATAAGTGAGGTCATCAAAGATGATGCAGGGGAGTGTCTGGTATACAGCATGCTTCAACGATGCTGATGTACTGTTGCGTGTGCAGTGCAGCAGCTAAAATAGCTGTAAGAATTGACTTATACAATGACCGGAGGAACTGATATCTACTTGTTCCCTCTGTAATTCCCTTAACTGATTCCGTTGAAACGTGTGTCAGACATTTGACTTGTTGTTCTAAACGCGGAGTAGCTAGTTGTATCACGTTCCCTATCTGGTTCTCATATGAAATTTGTTTAATCATCAAAACAAAAGAAACATAACTTATCAAAACTATTTTGAAAATTTAAGGCTCATGCCTCAACCTAATACTATTTACAATCTAGCCTCCGAATATTTCTACCTAACACGCAGCTTTAATCACAAACACGCCACGATTCCTATGTATGTAAAATGGGAACCTCCACCACAGGATTACTTCAAGTTAAACAATGACGGAGCAATGAGAAGATCGGATAAATTTGCTGGGCTTGGTGATGTCTTTCGAGATGCTTCTGGGAATTGGGTAATGGGTTACGCAGGAAAGCATGAAGCAACCAATGTTATTAATATAGAAATAATGACGCTACTAAGAGGCTACAAATAGCAGTCATTCACAACCTCACCCCACTGGAAATCCACCTTGACGCAAAAGAGGTAATCACCATGCTTCAAAGTCAGTCTACTATATACTCACATTGCTAAATGATAGCAGATTCCTGATCTGCCAACTGAGTGATTCACCTGTAGTGCACACTTACTGGGAGAAAAACACAGTAGCAAACCAACTAGCTCAGTTTGGGATGGAACCGGTAGGAAGCAATATTACCTTTTTTGCACATGCACCTTCGTTTGTTTTGGAAACTGTCAATAAAGACTAGCTGGGGCATCGTAGACTTAGGCATGTTAGTAGTAATATTACTCCGTTGTCGGAAACTAGGCACTCTTTTTGTATACCATCAAACGAAGCTACTACTAGTAGCGCACCACACCACTTTTTGTACTTCCATTCGGAGTTATAGTAGCCATAGTCAAATAGAATGGCACACTAGTGCCAGCAGTAGCACTGTTACTTCATTTTGTGTAACTGCCTTAGGGCAACAGTTCCCTGTAACTCTTCTTTAACTAATATATAAAATAGTCTTTTAATCTAAAAAAAAAAAAAAAAAAA